GGGCCCCCCAAGACCGGGCCCCCCAAGACCGGGCCCCCCAAGACCGGCGCTCCCAAGGCGGGAAAGAGGGCAGCGGCCAAAGGCAAGGAGAAGGAAGCCAAGGGGGCGGCAGGCCCAGAGGACACCTGAGGGCCACAGGGGCCCTTGTCCCCAGCTGGGTGGGTTTTAACAGCATTATAAGCAGCCGGAGGTGTTGTTGAATAAAGGTGTCACATTTGGCAAGATGGCAAACTCCCCGCCCCCCCCGGGCTGCTCCTGATTCTAAAAAGCAGCAGAGAGAAGCTGCGCTGAGGGAGATCCGGCGTCCCCTGCGCCTGACCGGAGGAAGAAGGACACACACATGCACACACACACCCCAGCTTAGCAGGTAACCTTGCACCTGCTCCGCCCCAGGTGGGCCATGCGCACCAGTCACTTCCACCGGAGCCTTTCAAGGCACAGCTGGCTGCTCCACACGGGCATTTTTGAGCAATGCTTTGGCTTGCAAGCTACATTGTCCTAAATTATACTTTGGCACAGCGGTTCCCAAACTTTTTCAGTCCGCCCCCCCCCCCCCTTGGTGCTACAAACTTATCCTTAATGCCCCCCAGCCAGGGGCGGGATTCGAATTTCTGTGGGTGTGGCCTAAGTTGGGGGTGTGGTTTGCTGGTCACGTGACTGGGTGAACATGGTTTGGTGACTGGCAAAGTGGTCCTCACTTAACGGCCGGTTGCTTAGCAAGTGTTCTCATTTATGACTGGCCTCCCCAGAACTACTCGACCTGTTTTGGGAGTTTTGACAGCCACGCACATACGCAGACACACACATTCCCTTCCAACCCTGCTGGAGCCGGTCCTTGGGCTAGAATCGGCAAAGCATCTCTGATTAGATTCTAGTAGTGAATAAAATCTAATCAAAGATGCTTTGACAATTCTTGTTGATTTGTTTTATTTTTATTTCTTTATTTTGTGTTGCTGAATTGCATTGACACGTGTGTGTCCCTTCTTGTGCACAACCCAGAAGCGGTTGTGCTTCTTTGCAGCAAAAATTACCGAATGTGCCGGCACTGCCGCGTTCTAGGTGCCAGCCCCACAGGTCCACCCCATTGAGCCCGCTGCACCGGAGGGGCCTGCCCAAGCAAGTCATGTCAATGGGGTGAGCCGGAGAGAGGGAGGGAGGGAGAAACAGGATCCATTGGGCCAGATCTCCACCCTAAACAATTACTCTTCCCCAATGTAATTACAGCGCCAATTCTGAAGAAGGCAAAACCTGAACGTAGTGTTGGTAAATTACAAGGAGAACATACACACACAGACTCCCTGCTGGAGCAGGTGATTGGACTAGAATAGGTATCTCATTCTCTTTCTCCTCCCTCCTCCTTTATTTCTTTTTCTTTCTGTCCCTTCCTTCCATCCCTCGTTCCTTTGTCCCTTTTTCTTTCTTTCCCTTTTCTCTTTTTCCTTCTCTCTGTCTCTTCCCTCTCTCTTTCCCTCTCTCAGGCTCACCCCATTGACTTCGTGCACCACTCAATTCGGACTGGCTTGGGCAGGTGCCTCTGGTGCCAGGGGCTCAACGGGGTGGAACCCGGCGCTGGCGGTGGGATGTTTGCAAAGGAGCCGCTCTGGCTTTGCCCTCCTTTCCAAGGCTGCGTTCGGGGCGGAGCTCCTGGCACCAGAGCGGGCAACTCAGCGGGATGACCCTGCAGGGCCTTGCCTGGCGGGATTTTTTTTCACCCCTGAATCGTGCCCTGCCGCTCACCTCCGGCGCCCCCCCCCTTGCCTCTCAGCGCCCCCCAAAGGCATCCCCCCCCCCAGGGGGCAGTACCGCCCACTTTGGGACCCACTGCTTTAGCATAACTTTTTCACTAATAGGATTCTTGAACATAACTTCGTCCCAAGAACATTCTTGAAAATGTTGAGTCCTGAGAGCATCCAGTTTTGGTCACCACAATATGAAAAAGATGTCGGTACTTTGGAAAGAGCGCAGAGAAGAGCCGGACTGGAGGAATCGGGCCCGGCTAGTCTGGAGAAAAGGATACGGGGAAACACGATGGCGGCCTTGCAGTATTTGACGGGCTGCCACAAAGAAGGGGGGGGGGGTCAAAGCACCCGAAAGCAGGACAAACCGCAAAGGACGGGAGGATCTAAGAGCACAACCAACCAGTGGAGCTGCTGGACTCCAGAAGTCGGTGCTCCGTCCCTGGCGGTTTTTAAGAAGAGGCTGGACAGACATCTGTCCAGAATAGGACACAGGCCCTCCTGCTTGTGCAGGGGTTGGACTAGAAGACACACACACACACACACACACACACACACACACACACACACACACACCCACACACCGGCACAAGGCCCCTTCCAACTCTTATTAGCCACAGATTCAAGCTCATGCTTTGCTTCAGAGAGTGTACATCTAGTCTTCAGTGTTGCAAAATAAAACCCCCCAAAGGTGTCCCTAAAGGGCTTGCAACTGAATGGCAGCGCTGCCCAGATTCAGGGGATAGGCAGCTTTTGGGAACCCCAGCTGGAGAACCCGGGGTGGGGGGTGGGGGGGGGCTGGATGGATCTCTGGGCTTCGTCCAGAGTCCTGCTGAGCAGAGATCTGGGGCTGCTCCCGGATCCCCTCAGAGTTACAGGATTTGGTTTGGGCAGGCGAGCCCCACAGAGGGCACCCACCTCCCACCTCCCCTCCTGAGTGGGTAGGGGGTGCCTGGGATTATTGGCAGCTGGGCAAGGTAGCGCCAGCACCCGGTCGACTTGCAATGGGAGAAAGGCTGGAATTCCCAGGAGGGCTGGGAAAAAAATGGATAGGAGCTTGGAACAAAACAACTCTGTGTGTGTGAGTGAGAGAGCTGGCAGCCCTGAATTACTTCACGTGATCTATGTCTCCCTCAGACCAAAGGTCCCAAGACCGCCAACTCCACCACGGGGGAGGGGGCGGGGGGGGTCTCTCCCCCCAGCTGCCCATGGCCTTGCTTGCTCTCCTCTGCCCGCCCACCCACCGCAGTTTGCCCGGGTCCTTCCTACCGCGCCATGCTCTGAAGGGAGCAAGCTACCCACCCCGGGCCCAGTGAAGACCTGAGGGGACCAAGACCCGGGGGATCTGTCCCGGGTGGCCCTGGCTCAGGGTCAGCGTGGGATTCACCCAGACTCCCCCCTCCGCCCCGGGTTCGGCCTTGCGCAGCCCCTCCCGAGCCTTCAGGCAGGTGATCGCTGCCCGCCCCCCTCCCCGCCCCCCCCCCGGCCTTGGCGGCCGATCTGCCCCCACCCCCGCCGCCGCCGCCGCCGCTTCCCCACCACCACCCGGCCGCCGCCCGCCGGCAGTTCAAGCGGCTGCTCGCAGCGGGCTGCCTTCCAACCTGCGCCAACCCCCCCCCCCGGCCCCCGCCCGCGCCGGGGGGGACGCCGCGGCCGGGGCGCGGCCCCCCCGGCCGCCGACGCCGGGGGGCCCCGGCGCCCCCCCCCCCGGCCCCTCTAACCGGTCATCGAGGCTGCCCTCCCCGAACCCCTCCCCCACTCCCGGGGCCGCTCGGGTGGTCGGCCCTGCGGCAGACTGAGGCGTCCAGGCGCTGCCGCTGCTGCTGCTGCTGCTGCCTTCCCGGCTCCCCTCTTAATCGCCCCGGGCGCCTGCTGGGAGTCCCTTCCAGGAAGAGACCCGGCTCCGGCCTCGCCGAGGCTGCCCCTCCACGCTGAGCTGGCTGATCCTCTCCACTCGCGGGGAGGGCCCTTCAGCCAGGACCCCCCCCCCCCGGTGCCCCCCGCTTTCTTGGCAGACCTGCCGCTGGTGTCTCAGGTGCCGCGCCAGCCAAGGGGGGGGGGAGGGGAGACCCAGCTGGGGGCCTGTGCAGACCGAGCGGGCTGGGTGACGCAAGCTTCCCGGGAAGCCCCTGCGGGAAGGCCCCTTTCGGCCCCAGTGTGCCCCCTTCCCAATCCATTGCCTGACCTCCTTAGCAGCAGAACCCAGGCACGCTGGAGGCTGCCCTCAGGCAGGGGGGAAGGGCGGAGGCCTCTTGGGGGGGGTGGCAAGGTGCGAATGTGTGGCGGGACGGGATTCTGCACATGGCCCGAGGCCCCTGCCCACAGTTGCCCCGATGCCCCAGGCCCCTCGTGGCTGAGCCCCCTGGCTCGGCGTGGGGCCTGACCCTTGTCCCATGGACAGCCCAGGAGAGGGGAAGGCCAGGGTCACTTCGGGCACTGGCACCAACCCAAGGAATGGTTAGCACGTGGGGCAAAGGAAGGCCCGGTGCCCTCCGGCTACACAGCAGCCTGGAGCAGCGGGGAGGCAGATCCATGGGGAGGGGGGGGACGGGCCCCAGGGGGGTCGCTTGGGCTTAAGGGGGGGCTGGGGGGGGGGGAGGCTGCATTGCTTTGACCAGACAGTCATTCTTGGGAACTTGAGGGAGGCCGTGGCATCCAGCATGGTTCCTTCCCTAGGCCACACACCAGCCCTGCAAGGCAGGACAGCCCAACTCCTGAGGGCAAGGTCCCAGAAGAGCAGCTTCCAGTGGAAGCGAGGGGGCTCCTGCCCCGTGCCCTCTGCCCCCCTTGCTTGGCGCTTCCCTTCGGGGCTCCCCGCCAAAGCAAAGGAAGCGACCGGCAGGGCCAGGTCAACCATGGGGCAGGGGCCGCGGGCGCAGATTCCCTAGACGGTGAGCCTCCAGGGCACAGCAGAGTCTATTTTCACCTTCCCCACCAAATGGCTTTTTGCTGCCAAGGAGCGATCAAGTCAAAACTTGAGGCTTAATCCCAGCTACTGGTGCCAGCTAATTTAATACCTAAATTAATATATTTTTAACAGCTGTTGGAAGACGTATCACGGCTGATTGAAAACATAAAAGAAACCCACCGAGTCAGGCGGCGTTTTCTCACGGGGGGGGTGCGGGGGGGGCAGGGCTTCTTTCCTGCCAGGCTAATTGCAGCCTTGGTGCAACATTGCTGAAAGAGCCGGGCGCCAGGCAGAGCTGGCAGAGGCAGAAACGGGGGGGCCTCCTCAGCTGCTCTTTCCCACAGGGCCCCCAGCCCATTCCAGGGAGGCCTCCCCAGTAGCAGGCTGAAGACCAACCAGCTCGCCCCTTTGGCTGCCGGAGGGAAGCCCCCTGGCCCGGCTCTGTTGGGTGGTCTTCGTCAGGGAGGGGCTGCTCCTCCCCTGGA